GGAAGTAATCAGTAATTAGTTACTGATTACTTTTTTCAAGTAACTTGACCAACACTGCTCTCCACTCCTTTAGTGTAGTGTTTCCCTGGTGTGTCCCATGTCGTTGATGTTGTGGTCCTGCTCTGTGTTATCCAGACCCGGCCTCGGGCGGCTCCAATCTGGAAGCCCAGCTGAGGCTAAAGCGAGCCCAGCTCGCCGAGGACTTGAATAAGAAGTTGGCTCTCAGGCCAGGGCCCATGGAGCTGGTGCAAAAGAATATCATTCCCCTAGACTCTGCCATCACGATGACAGGTATCAGTGGAGAGACGTCGCCACGTGGTGTAACCCGACTTTAACACCCGCTGCGCCTTAGCCTGTGCGTTTATATGCTTGTGTGTTTGGAACTAAAGTTTAGGTGTAGAGTTTGTTTTGTGTAAAAGGGCCCTTCTAACTGACTGACTGTGTGTATACTCATTAATGAGGCCGACTGTAAGCTACTCAAACGAGCTTTGTACTTGAGTGGACTGCACGGCTGCGTTGGTCACATCGTTTAGTCTTCTAACAGGAGAAACGGATTATTTCAAATGATAAGACCGTCAGAGGGTCTGCACAGATCAGAGTCTTCAATGCATCACAACTCCTTTTGTTTTTCTCTCGTGCTGGAGAGTCATGTGCTAAAGCCAAGTTTATAGGTATGAGCAATGATATTTCTCTTTATTTTAACCTGGTCTATTTTTGCATATGTGAACCACGCTAATGTTGCACTCTCCAGCAAAGTCTATTTTGGGAAAATATTACAGTGTTTCAGGAAATGGAATTTTAGAGGAATTGTTTTAAACACTAAAATTACTAAAACTATTAATTACTATCACTATTCCTTATTTCTATTAATAAAACACTGGTATTACCACAAAATATGAGGGATATAAACCATCCGAACAAGCATTTTTCACAACCTGGCCATGTGTTCTTGTTTATCTTTCTGATCAGTCACGCTTTGTAAGGCATATCAAAATGCATTATTCAAGTCAAAATTTGAATTCTGGTCTTGATTAGTGGACCACCTATGCATCAAAGTCTTTGTACGTTAGATTTAAATGCCTTAACAGAGACGAGGGCTGTTAAAATGAACATTTGTGTTTGTAGCCAGAAAGAAAGAAAGAAAGAAAATCCATGTTTAAAAAAAAAAGGTGCTTAGCAATCAGCATTTACAAATGTCTATTATGGACTCAAGTGTTTGAGGAGTGCTCTTTGGTGCATCGTGTATGCTTAAACAAAGATTTAGCGCTGTGTGAAGCGCAGGGCCGGAGCTGTCCCACCGCGCCGCTCACACTGTTTGGGTCCAACATGTTACTCACTCTCTCTGTTCTTAGCAGTGCAGCGAGTTTTCTTTAGACTCTGCTGTTTTAGCGGTTTTATGTTTGCCTCCTTAAGCTTCCAGTAAACATGTTGCACAAAGGAGCCGGCAGGCTGCGGTCAGCTGGTTTATAATACCTCTGCCGGAGAGGGGGATCTCCGTTTATCGAGATGAACAGCAGCTGTATTTGGGTCCACCCTTTTTCTTTAGAAGTCTACGATGTGTGTGCGTGTAGAGTGCATCCTTTGCCACATGTGTGGGCGTACCTGCCTGTATGTTTGGACCTATCTGCTCATCCTCCCCCCCTCCTCTTTTGTCTGTGCTCTGACTGGCTCCAATCAGCCACCTACAAAACTACGTGACAGGACCAGGCTATTGTGACCCCCACCCCGCCCCCCTCGCCTGCAGCATTAACCCCTCACCTTAAAGCTCTATATCTCCCTACATAACACTCCCAGTGATTGTTTCAACCTCTGTCTGGTAATTTTGGAAACTGCCTGACCCGCCATAGCTTGTAAACCAGCCACGTGAAAAGAGGAAGCGTACGTGGCCTGCAGATTTCCTGTAATTCTGCCAACTCAATCTCCCGGTGACAACAAATTATCTTAAAGAGTCCTGGACTGTGTGCAGCAGAGTGAAAATGCACCGAGTAAATTCACACACAGACCGTGTTGGTGTTTTTCCCTACAGAGTTAAACGTGAACAGGTGGGAGGAAATGGCATTTAGGACAATGCTATTTACTAAGCTGTGCGGTAAGCTCGCCGAGTGTGTGTTTGTGTGTACTGCAAGGTCATAGAGTTGCACAGAATGGACCTGGTACTGTGATGGAAACCAGAATCTGTTCCTGGTTGTCACATGTTTGGATACAAAAAGAGAATCTTATACCTCTCAGCGCGCACACAAACACAAACACACACACACACACACACACTCCAGCCTTTACCACCTCCTTCCCTGGCTCTGTCCCTTCAGCTCCATTAGATAGTTGCTCTTAACTACCCCAATCAAAGCTGTGTTCCCTATCGCGCCAGCCAATCAGGAGCGTTCTAGAAGTAAAGTGGTTGTGTGAGTGTCTTACCCACACAGCGTAACACCTCCGAGCTGAGTGCTGTACTAGGTGTGAGTGACAGGCAGTGTGTGAATACCTCTGCTCACATACATTGTGTGCAGCATGCAGTATGCATCCAACCAGCCAAGGAGCAAGTAAAAGAAAATGTTTCACAAAAACAGATGTGAAAATGGTCCAGTGGTTTGTGGGTTGAATGAAATGTTTTCTTGAAATGGTGTTCAAGGTGCTTTGGACAAATTCTGATGTCATTTGTGGGACAAAGGTCTTACCCTATCAGCAGCACATGTAACTAAAGCCTGGTGTATTTAAAACTACAGAGCACAGAATGATTGAACTTCCATAGATACAGTGCTGGAGTAACATAACAGCGTGTTAAACTGAGAACCGTTTCCACTAAATAAACAGGTGGAGGTTGAACACAATAGTCTTGTGACTGGTCATTTGCTGTTTTAGATTGCAGATGAAGTAGTTTGGTGGTAAAGTCTGACTGTCAGCCGGCTGGAGGCAGCAGTAAGGAACATATTGAAGCATGCTCGGTTATTAAAATGTGCTCTTAGTGTCTTGAATCACAGGTCTTGTGATAATTGTATATCGATGATGACTGTGACAGTTTATACTTGCTTTGCTTTTAGTTCTGGTTAGATTTTGCACTTTCGTTTAATTCACCTATCTACATTTTTCCAAATTTTCTTCACAGATTGTACTAATGTTATGTGGAATATGTGAATTTTTTTTGAGCATAATAATATTGTAACAGCCCTGATTTGTGGCTCAGTATGCAAATGAGTTAGATGGTACATCCCATGTCAATTGTAGCAATGCTGCTAGACACTGTTAGGTTATGTGATCTTTAAAGTTTCTACGTGGATCATTTCCTTTAGGCTGTAGTCACACTGTGCAGATTTCTGTTATGTCTGATAACAACGCACGCCTGGCAGATTGAAAACGATCCGAATGCATTCTGTGTGCACTTACAGTTTTTGTTTTGTTTTGTTTCTAGGTGTAAAAGGGGTCTAGGCTGATAGCTATTACATCGCTGACACCCCCACGTATCTCTGTTTTTGTTCTTCTTGCAGTAAACCATGGTAAGCTCCCTAAGCAAGAGGACTCCTATGCATTTGAGGAGGACAGCAGCAGTGAGAGTCTGTCTCCAGAGCAGCACCACAGTGATGAGTCGCAGGGTTCGGCCTGCCCTTCATCTGAGGCTGTCGGCAGTACGGCCTCCTCCTCGTCCTCACCTGCCCTCACCAGCGAACGACAGGTAAAAAAAAACACACAAACACGCCTCCTCTCCTTTGTTCTATCCATTTCTTTCACTCAAGCTCCCACACTGAGCAGCTATGATTACCACCAGTTTATTTCTGCTGCCCTCCTGTGGTAGCAGAGTGAGCTGCACATCCTCTGTTTTCCACTGTTGGACTGAGTTGACATAGGCAGGTGTCACATTCCTGCATGCTGAGCCATGCTGGCGGCGCAGCTGCCTTTATATGCTTGCTGCTTACCTTTCACTCACGGTGACCTCATTCCAACGGTCACCAACAGAGACGGTCCCTCAACTGAAATTCGTGCCAGAACACAATTGTTTACATCTCTCAGACCTCTGCCTCTTAAATGTTCCAACTGAATCATCATCCCTCTGTGCGTCATGTCAGTCCCAAAGGTTTGTTTAAAGCTTTTTGGAATACTTTTGCGGAGGAAACATCAATACATGAGCATTTTAGGGATAATTATTCTATTTGGATTATAAACTGTCAAGCAGTCTCCCTGTCTGTTCAATTTACCTTTATAATCATGAAGAAGAAATGAGAAGAAAACAGATACAGTCAGAGCAAAATGCATGAAATCTAAGGCAACAATAGCAAAAAAGTTGCCAAAGACTATAAAATAGCTGCGTAAATACAGTCGTTCACTTTTATTACATCCTGCCATGTGCTTGTTTAGTATTGTTTGGAACCAGATGTCTGTCAGTAGAGTGGATACGATAAAACAACTCCAAGGTTAAACCTCTTTGAGTGAAACTGAGCTCAACAGACCAGTTTATCAAATGAAGCAAGAAGACAATAATCTTTACGTCTAAACTGAAACACTTTATACTTTAGTAATTATTTCTTCAACTTCAGCCTGGAAAAGTAAATGTACTTTGTTTTTATTTGTGGATAGGGTGGTGTAAGCAGAGATCCCCCGGATCAAAGCCAGGATGAGGGGCTTTCTGGTGCTAACAACAGCCAGACTACTCCCCCAATACCTGTTCCTGCTATCGTCAAGGTCAGTTTGTCATTAAACTCACTATCATCTGCCACCTGAGCTACAGCCAGGCAGAGCAGGTCAACTAACCAGAAGGTCAGTGGTTCGATCCCAGGTTGCTCCAGGTTGCATCCTTGGGCAAGATACTAACCCCATGTTTGCCTACTGGTGGTGGTTAGAGGGCCTGGTTAGAGGGCCTGGTTAGAGGGCCACTGGTCTGGCGCCAGTGTCCGGCAGCCTCGCCTCTGTCAGTGCGCCCCAGGGCAGCTGTGGCTACACTGTAGCTGTGGTTACAATGTAGCAATGTAGCTTGCCATCACCAGTGTATGAATGACTGAATGTAGTGTGAAGTGCTTTAGGGTCCTTAGGGACTAAGTAAAGCACTATACAAATGCAGGCCATTTACATTCTTAACTTTAACAATTCCATTCAAATGCCTAACTCAAATTTTCTCATCCTCTCTACCACCAGTCTAAATCTTCCGACAAGAACCGTCACAAGAAGCCCAAAGATGTGAAGCCTAAAGTCAAAAAGCTCAAGTACCACCAGTACATTCCTCCAGACCAGAAGGCAGAGAAGTCCCCTCCGCCCATGGATTCGGCCTACGCCCGACTCCTCCAGCAGCAGCAGCTCTTCCTGCAGCTGCAGATTCTCAGCCAGCAGAAACACACTCATGCGCAATCGCAGACACAGCAGTCGCAACAGCCGCATACCCACACTCCGCAGACGCAGGCCCAAGCCCAGTCTCAGACTCAGGCTCAGCAGAGGCAGCCCACTTTCAGCTATCAACCCCACACACCAGCTCACACCCAGAAGTAAGTAGAGAACATATCTAACGAAATCTCCTCAAATTATCTACTGCAAACTTGTGTATGGAGGGGTTAATAAAAGTAACGCTACATCTTACTCTTAAGTGTGATCTAAAACAGTAAATAGCACAAAAAACATGAACTGAAAGACTTTAAAATGATGTAGATTAGGGAAGAAATCTGGGATCTGATTACTTTCTGTAGGTTTGAGCCAAACTCCTTACATCTGCATCAGTAAATATGAGATCCAGTTTTCAATAGGGATGGGTATCGTTTAGGTTTTATCCGATACCGGTGCCAAACCGGTACTTTTGAAA